CATTTTTTTGATATTTTTGTCCCTACCTTCCACATTTCTTTGCTTAAAAGGTCCCTTTTATCAGCTCTAGACGATTTTACCCTCCATTCAAATAAAAGAAAAAGAAAACAAAAAAAATAAAAACTAATTGTAACTGTAGTCCTAAAATTTTCAAAAAATTACAAATAAGTCACAATTTATAAAACCCATGAATTTCCCAGGATATCCCCCTCAAACTTCTGGAATTCCTATATAATGATTAATGAGGATGTTTCCACTTCCCAGGATGGCTGTGAATTTAGATCTAAAAGACTAGCTAGCGGGTAAGTTCGGGTCATAAGAAACGCCCCAAGGGATACCTATTCATCCAGACACCACCGTCGCCGGGACAATCTCGAAAGTGGGAGGACTGGGAGTTGCCTTGTTATGTCACCAGCTTCCTCACAATTGTTATCATTGGAGTAGGTCTCAACGCTAAGCCCAATCTCACCATCGAGACATGGGCCCACCAGAAAGCCCTAGAACGGCTTGGATTCGATTCTTCCTAGACTCAACACGCTAAATGTGATTAGAAAGTTGCCATACCTAGGGTATGGTTTTAATTTTCTACTTTTTCTAGTCTGGTTCTGTGTTGGAATCATCAAACTTGTGTAGTTGGTTTTGTTGAGGAAATAAATGATATTTACTTGCTGAATGTGGAGTGAAAACTTATGCTGTTAATTCACTGGAGTTTTTGGGATGTTAACTTCATGCAATTCAAATCTACATATATTTTTATGGGGAAAAAAAAAGTTGTTCCTAGGATGGGTAGATCACCAAACCCTAACTGATTACCGTTTCTCTTTCTCTCTTTTTGGTATTTCTGCTGGCTTTCACTGCTGAAATTTGTTCATTGTATCAATTCACAAGCAACTTGATTCAAAAGTTGCATTGTTGAATCATGCCGAAATGCGAGCCCTTAAAATGTTTTGTCTTATTTGACTATTGTAGCTGTCTTCACCACAGATTTCATGTTTCTTCCAGCCACCATAGCCAGCCATTTAGTTGGAATTGTTGGGAAGCTGTATCAGTGTCAAATTGAAAAGGCCATGGCTCCATCACACATTGAAGATAGCTTTGAATTTACAAAAGTTTGATATGAATATTGCTTTTACTTTTATCATTTCACAATTTTTGAATCATAGCCAATGAAAATGAAGAAACTTAAAAAAAAAAAAAAAGATGAAAAAAAGTGTTGATACTAGTTATTTAAAAATTGTGACTGATTTGTAATTTTTTTTTAAAAATTGGAACTATAGTTGCAATTAGTTCCTTTTCTGTTCTTCTTGTTTTATCTGAATGAAGGGTAAAATCATCCAAAACTGATGAAAAGACGTTCTACGCAAAGGAAGGTGGAAGGTAGGGGTAAAAATACCAAAAAATGAAAGGTATGGATGTTTTTCACAATAAACTTGAAAAATAGGGACGTTTTGTGCCAATTAGCCAAAAATAAAAAATAAAAAAAGCCCTCCACTACTATGAACAATACCAAAACAAAAATTTGGTACATTTTCTTCCATTGGTTAAATCTCATTTAATTAGGACATGTAGGGTATTTCAAATTATCTAGAGGGGCATATATGTCTAAAATTGACATTCTTGCAATGCCTTAAAAAAAGTTAGATTTTTGTAAATGCGAACCAAAAATTGACTATTTTGGTAATTTTCACTAAAAACAATATAAATTATATCCGTTCAGATGTATCCCTTTATTCAATGCTTCTACCACTCATTGAGAAAAACGTTGATGGTGTTCATTTGGTCGTCATAGTTTTTAACTATTTTATTTTTCACCACTTATATTTCATCACATTTTTATTTGGTACACTAAATTTAATTGCAGTTAAACTCTTCAATTTTTGCTCGTTGTAGCAATTATTTTCTTAAATTTTTTCCGTCGAATTCTTATCTTCAACTTTCCATTTATTATTACATCTTGTTTTTTATGATGATCTATTTCAAAATATTTCATTTTCATGTTTTGAAATGAGCAAAAAATATTTTTCACCATTTTTTTATTTTTTAAAAATATGATTAGAATTTAAGTTTGTTTAAAACCATTTCAATAAACATTTGGACATAAAACTGTTATTAAATAGAAAATGTGTTAATTGATGAAAGTTTGAGGATAAAAATGACAATAAAAAAACGTTAGGAACATAAATGTTATAATGAACAAAGATTAAGAACTTTATGTACTACTAAAATGTGGTACAAGAAATAAAAATTATGGTATGAATATAATTATCCTTTGCATTTTCCTTTTAAATTTATATCCTCTGTATATATATTCACTATGATGTTCATAAATTTTTCACAAACAATAATTTTCAATTTAACTTTTGATTTTTAAAATAAATTGAAATGGAAGTATATTTTGATTTTGAATTTCGGTTCGAAGCTGAAATTTTTATGCTAATTTTTAGTTCGACACTTAATTTATAATTAAAAATATTAGATGTGTTATGTAAGTCTTAATATTTTAAATAATTAATTTCAAAAATTGACATTTATCTATATTTTATAGTTTTTAATAATTAAATTTAATAGAGTATTATGATCCTCGATCCGGTCCAATTATTCAATTTGCATAACCCATTCTCCAATCCAATATTGACAACTAATAATAGCTTTGTTTACACTTCAAAATGTACAATTTTTCCATTGAATTTTGACAACAATTAGATCAATCAGGCCTCGATTTTATACATCATGGATTACTTTATACATCATGAAATGTAATCCATGATGTACAAAAATGACGTGCAATTAGCTTCATTCAACAAAAAATTCCGTTGGTATCAAAATAAAAGTCAAAAAAATAATTTATCTATCAAAATTATTATAAGATAAAAAATAAAAAGATATATTAAAGCACCGCGACGATTCTAGACAATTTTAAATGACGACGTTGTCTTTTGTAACTTTTAATGAACACGTGTCGATAATCAGCATCAGTATAATTCTGTCAAAATCAACCAGATCACCATGTCATACTAATCAACTAGATCACCAATGTCAAAATTATATATTGACTATATTCCTCAAACCGGACCCACGGCTAATTTTTGAGATTCTCCAAACCCCGAAACTTCTTGGAAGTTGCTGGTAGTTGCTTAGTACAAGAAGTTGAGCCTATATAAATGACTTAATTTTCGAGAAGAAACAGACTGACTATATACCATTGTAGCGGTGGAATCATTATGAGGATAATCAAGTGGTGTTTGAAGAAGCTCAGTTACTACGTTGTTTTCTCGAAGGAAGCATTGTTTATATTTGGTAAACTAAGAATAATTATGCTGATTTTGATTATTTCCTAACTTCTAACACTTGGCTTAAATTTCTACAGGCCTCATTTATGTCCACAGTTTCGTAGAGAAGGCACTGGTAGATATACTGATCACTCATCTCCCAGGTGTATGGGACATACCAAAATCGGCTAAAGCTGTCAATTTACAAGAAGGAACCGCGGCAGTTCTGCAAATTTTATTTGCTTTTGCATCGGATGTCTATCTGGTCCGCTTCAAAATGGTGGTTTACTCCACCATATCTTACATCATTGTGAGTTTTGTAATGAGACATTATCGTTAAACCCACCACCATTTTTTACTCTCAAATGTCTTATTCAAAGATTTTCTAAATCAATCAACTGCAGGGATTGGTGCTCCTCTGGAATGCGGCTAGGCACGGAAGTAGAGATATTCGAACGTTCTACTTGGCACTGGTGCTAATAACTCTGGCAAAAGCTGCAAAAGGGGTATCCTTGAAAGCGTTTCTTGATGATCAATTCTTGGCGAAGGATATCCCAACCACAGAAGAGGATAAAGAACGACAACATAGCCGTAGCAATGCCTGGTGGCGCTCTGCATCCATCTTGGGTGCTATTGCTGCTGCTTTTTTCCCGAGTTCATTGACGCTGCTTTCTGTGATCTCAGCAATTTCAATGATGGTTGCATACTCGTGGTTCTGGTTAGGTGCAAAATTTTCCGAATGCAATCCACCAACAGGCAGCGCCATCTCTGATGTTCTATTTGTTATCAAAACAGCAATACTAAAAAGAAATCTTCTCTATGCAACTACTCCAGAGCAGCTCTTCCAAAATTATAAAGGTGTTACGCATATTGAGCGTAGCATTTCATGGTTGAGGTATGTCTCTTCACTCAGTTTCTGACTTTACGAGATTACTGATTTTATTTACTGAAACTGCACTGCATTTTGTTTGTTAAACGACAGGTGGTTAGACAAAGCTCCCATTGTGATTGAAGAGGAAAATAGGCCAGACAAGAATTGCACAGTTGCACAAGTGAAGGAAGTGAAATTTTTATTAGGGATGGTTCCTATGTGGACAACTTTCCTTACATACAGTCTGGTTTATGCGACAGGAAGCACCTTCTTTTTCCAACAAGCTCGCAACCTAAATAAAAATTTCCCTATTACTTTTTTCAATATATTAGTAACAGTCACAAGCATTGCAATTGAATATCTATGCGACATTTTAATTCGAAAAATTGGTAGTGAAATGGACAAACAACTCATAATGCAGGTGCGAATCGGTATTGGAATGGCATTTTCTGTCATTTGTTGCGTATTTGCTTGGAAAAATGCAGTTCACTGGCTGTATTTGGTCAAGATATACAGTGAGCCAAGTATACATATGGATATTTTTAGCCTAACTCCACAATTTATCTTCTTGGGAGTTATGGAAGGACTTTCGGTAGGTGGGCTTCAAAATTTCTTTTGTTCTCAGGTTTCTAAATCTCTAAGGAACTACAAAACACCATTTGGAGAATGTGTGATAGGCATCGGAAAGTTTCTGAGCATAATTTTTATCCTCATTTTCAGTAGATGGTTTGGGCATGATATAGATTCAAGCCGTTTGGACAAGTATTATGCGATGCTGACACTTCTAAGTTTTGTTAACTTACTTATCTATTGGTTGGTTGCGTATTGGTACGGAGATGATCAATTTTCACCTGAACCACTCAATTCAGAGCCGGTCTTGTGATTCTCGGCGCCTGAGGCAAAGTTTGTAAATTAGGCCCCTTGGCGAAATCAACGTAAATGCAAAATTCAACGATATATTATGCGACCCATTATTAAAAACTAACATTAAAACAACAACTAAATATATTAAAGAAAAGATTTATATTATAAACTATCAAAACCAACAATGTTTGAAACCATTAGTTAAATATTATTCGTCTTACTATTTTAGAGGCAAAAACTTCAATCAAATCTGAATAATTTAGCTGTTCAACAATTTCTTTCTCTATTGATAACGTAGCGAACCCGTTTAATCTTTCTTGCGACATAGTTGAAGAACTCGAAACAATCATGAAAGCCAGAAATGAAGCTGCTTCAAATCATGGTCAAAAGTCTCTGGCTTATGCATTCTCAGATTCTCTCAACAGGTTTCATTTATTACCCTTTCTTGAGATAATTAATTAAACACTTCTTACTCTGGAATCTATGTACTAACGTTTTCAGTTGAAAAACTAGACATGAAATTGTGATTCAAATCCATATGCTAAAGAGCATGAGCCAGAAGAAGACAGTAAAAATTTGGTAGATACCCGGATGAGCAGAAACTCTACAGATCATAAAACAGACTCAATCAAGACCGTATGGATACCCCAAATTTGAATCTTTCCTCTAGAAATTCACACTACCGCAGTCCAATCCACATACAATCAATCCAATATTTTGCTTCTTCTCCTCACCGCACTGACCGTAGTTCACTTTACAAATTACAATGTCCCCACCCTATAGTCTCACAGCCTATTACGCCATCCCCAATATCCAGAACCGGTACTTTGTCTGTGTGGCCAGTGGCCGGTGGGTGTTGCCGTGTTGTTTCCCTAGGGCTAGAAGGCAAAGGGAAAGAGGTCAATCTAAAGACAAATGAACATGATGAAAATGAGGCCAAACTGAATGGGAATGGTCGAATGGACTGACCTGACGGCTGACGGTGGAGACGGACGAAGTCGTGGATAGTCGGACTGTCGGAGCGATGGAGACGAGTGACGACAGAGCAGCGTATTTGATATTCAACGATTTTGGGTAAATGGATATGGATTGTCGTGGATATTGGATTTGGATTATGGATATATAAGTTGGGTTGGGATTTAATGATAAATGGATTGTTGTGGGTTGTTGGATAATTAGTTTTGGATTGGCCATTTGCCATTTGGGCCTGCTAAACTTGAGTTTATTAAAAAAAAAAAAAAAAAAGGCCAAAAATGAGGCTCCCTAAGGTCTTGGGCCTGAGACGTAGGCCTCATTGGCCTCGCCCCAGGACCGGGCCTGCCACTCATAGAAGGTGCACAAGACAGAATTGGATCTGTGGTATCGCGATCCTTCTCTGATCAGACGACCAAAAATCCTCCATATTTTAGTGTTTTCAAAAGGAGAGCGCAGTCCTTCCCCGGCCCTGCTCAGAATAGGCTGGATGGTGCACACAAGCAGAAGAACAAATAACTGCGCCATATAAAAACTATTTGATTGTGAACCAGATCCCTCGAATCAGAGAAGGAACCTATCTTGATGTTTTGTGAAATTGGTCAATGATAATACTCCATTGAACTGATCATGAAAAGGTATCAGAATGGCCGCAAGACTCAATCCCCACAGACCCTATTTTGTTTACTACCGTGTCGTGATTACTTATTTCTCTCCCTTTGTATTGCTTTGTGTCTGAAATTGTCTGCTCAGACTTTTCATGTATAAGAGTGTGAAATGCAATGTTGAATTTCAACTTTGTTCCCGATGCCTTATGAAAACTTTTCTAAGAGTTCGATGTGAGCCTTGAATCTCAATTAAGATAATCGGAACAAGAACGACATGTAATCTCACAATTGCACAGACATACAGCTATGTGAACTTATCCATCAAACATGTCATTAGGACGCCAAGAAATGAGCTCATTTAGAGAGTCGGTAAAGTCCATCTTTACATGTGAGGAAGATATTTAAGAGTTATGCAAATTTGAGGACGAAATTTATTTCATTGAGTTAGATTTCATGATTATTCATTTAGGACCTTTCTAAAAAGATTGGAAATTTTTCTTCAATTGATGTCCAAACGAGATGATTCTGGACCACGTCCTACTACAAATAATCAATAGTTCAAGGAATTTCTTAGAAACCCCGAATTCTAAATGATTTTCATATATTGATCCGAAGGTCTATTCCAAAGGATTTACGTATCTTGACCCGAATGTCCAAATGTAGTCTATGAAATTCATTACGCGAACATTACAAAGAAAGAGAATTAATCACTCGCATGTCAATTTAAAAGTTGTAAAACTTGAAATATACCTTAAAAGAAGATAAAATATTACGCTTGAAAAATTCCCATTTCTTTATTTTTCTCCTCTCCGACTCTCGGTTCCTTATTGTTTACGGAAAAGGGTTGACGCTTTTTTAGTGATTTTTCTCATTTTCATTGGGTATATATCAATGTTTATAAAATGGTTGAGTTTCTACACAGTTAAGAGAGAGGAGACATGAAACACAAAGACATTGGGCATGCATGGTTTCGTTTTACAAGATATTATATTATTACGATTAAGAGTTTAATTGATTAGTTTCTAATAAAAAAAATGGTTAACCAATTCTTTTAACATATTGATATCGGCCGTATTTGGATTACCAAAGGTAATTAATTCTGTAAAATTCAATTAAATTTTGTTTTCCTTTTGTTAACTTTAATTTGGGTTCGGCTTGTCCATGATAGCTTTTTCTTGAGTCGAAGTACAATACGAGCCCAACATTGACATATTAATTTTTATTCCCTCAATAGTTAATTATTTGACCCAAAATATTAATCGGTTCTAAACTTATTTTCACTTAGATCCTTCAATAATTCAAATTCTCGTAAAAGTCTGATTAACTATCCTTCAATTGAAATTGAGATATTGTTAACTTGTATAGTGACTAGACATGAAAATCCAGAGGTGTTTTTCCCTGATCTTGATGGACCTGTTCAAAATCAATGGCTAAGTGAAAGCTTACAAGAAATCTAAAAAAATCTTAGGAGTCTAAAATTCAAGTCTTTATTCGGTTTTAGAGTCCATCATTCTAATCGCTCGCGCTTTTTACAGAGCAATTGATGTATTTATGGATATCTATGATGATCAATATGTTGTTACACCACCTCATCCCATTGAAGTCGAGAAACTACGAAAATTTTGAGGAGAAAGAGATCTGGTTGAGGACTTACTATAATTGAATGTTTTTTTTTTTCCCTTCTTTCTTTTTTTGGGGACGGGGGGGGGTGGGTGTTGGGGGTAGAAACATCATAATAATTTACATTTTATCAAATTTATTAGATTAAGTTGGTTTAAATTGGTTTTTATAAGATTGTGATGTATCAAAGGTTCCCCTAGATTTAAGTTCTTTACAACTTTAAAAGGGTAACTAGGGTTTAATTTACACAAATTATTAAATAAGAATTAATACTTTACATTTCACTCGTGCATTTGCCAGCTTCCTTATAAGAAACACCGAAACCCAATAATTTAAACCACTGATACCTAGCAAATGAAATTAGCAAATAAGTTTTATTTATCAAATTTCAAAACATGTAGATTAATTCTACAAATTAATGACTAAAAAAACAATAAACAATTAATTCATAGACATTTCTCAAATAATCAAAATCAAACAAAGGCCTTAAAGTGATTGACCCATTCTTGTAACCATCCATCATTTTGATAAATAATCGTTATCTTAGTAACCACACTTTATTTTGATGACACTTTTCAAGAAACATTGTTCAAATCTCAAACTATCGATCAACCAATTGTGACTACTGCAAACTATTCTATAGAAACTTTTTATCTAACTTACTACTTGCTACTCGAATTGTTCATTAGATTGCCGTCGATTTAATCTCACCCGTCCAATAGATGTCTTTTCGATTGGTGTATGCACATCATCATCTTTTCTTTTAAACTCTTAACACATCTATTTTTATATTTATCCATTTTAATAGCTCTCTTTTCAAATTTCATGAGCAGGACGATTGAAGCTTGGAAAGCCATACGTCGTGACATAAATAAAAACTTTGGACTAGTGCAAAAAGTCAAAAGAAGGATGTTAAATCACTGGGTGACGACAAATAGGCCTTCTTTGAACTTTTGGGGGTTTGCTATCCCTCTTTGAATATTTTGACTCTCTGATCATCGTGTGACGATACCTAGGTCTTCAATTGACGAATTGGGTTTTAAAAGTTACCATTTCGAATGTCAATATTAGACTACCACATAATTACAAATACTATAAAAAATAAGAATAATGCTATTTATACATAAGGAGATATATAATTCTTTACACAGGATGAGATATTAAAAAGAGAGCGTGGAAGTTTTTATTAGTTGATTGAAGAAAATCTTGTCCAATCATACATCACTAAATCATGTGTATTGTTGTCCATTTTGAAAGTTAACCTAATCGATTTATATAATGTTTAGACCCTAGAGCGTGCACATCAGAATTAAAAGTAGCAATTAAAAGTAACAAATCACTTTTTAATTGTTTCTAGATGTTGATCTATCACATCAATTTAGTCCACTATAAACGAAACAAATTACAGTATGGTCCAAACCTGACTAACCCAAAGTCCCGTCTAACCTTCTTTTCCTGTAGTTACCCTTGATCCCACTAGACTGTATGTTTCTTACACCAAATCTCGACTTTTAGAATATCATACTAACCTTTCTGGACTGCGTGCTCCTCACACCAACTCCATACCTCTAGTATATTACCTTAGCCATTCTAGATTACATGTTTCTGCACCAACTCCCGATATCGTTTATCTCTGGTGGACTAGGTGGTTTGGTGTTTGATCAAAAGACCTTGTGTGTTTTGATCTTGTTGTTTAGTATGGAACATAAGGCTTGATCAACAAAATATGTTTTAGAAGAATTTATGAATCAAGTAATAGGTGGTGGTTGAATTTTGGAATCAATGGATGTCCTGGATCATCAAAGAATTGATTTCTATGGAATAAATCTGATTCAACACGCTTTGAGATGTCCATGGGGTTCAGAATATTTATGGAAAAATGTTTGGAATGAAGAGGGATTAAAAAATCAGTATTTTATGCAAATAGAGATTTCAAGATGTCGATCGTTGCTCGAGTGCTAGGCTAGCACTAGGCGAGCGGCACGCCTATCTCTCGAGCGCCAATTTAGCAATAGGCAGGAGACACATATTCTACTTCTGCATCTAAAGCGCTACCGCCCAGCGAAAATGAGAATAGATGTCAGGGGGCATAATTAAATTTCCAAAACAAATGGGCTTTTGTCTTTCCTATTTTTCCATTTTTTAAGGTCCCAGGCAAATCCAAAGAAAGGTTTTCCTGTATGTTCATCATAAAATATTTCTAGATCCCAATAGACCCACTTCAATCGAAGCATAGGATCTCCTATCTCATCTATCTTAAGAGGGGTCGTGCAAAAAACAAGTTCGAAATCACGATCAATTCCTTTTTCAAATCCCGCCCATCTCGATATCAAATTCTTTAAGTCAGAATCTTTATCTTCTTCTTAGATTTTTTTTACTTCTTCTAGGACTTTGTCAATATACTTACCATAACTTGGACTATTTTAAACCTATTTTGACCTTGATTACAATATAATTAAATCATAGTGCAACTCTAATAAATTATGATTTTTGTCTTAGAAAATTGCTAATTATAAAATATGCTTTAAAATCTCCCCATTTGACATTCCGTGACAAAATCATATTTATTTAAAATCCAAAACTACCAAAAAATTAATTTCCCAAAATTTCTTCAATTTTTGGTTAACAGATTTTCTGAAACACAAAAATCATAATATCACATGAAAAGCAAGAGGAAGCTAATAAAATTAAAAGCATTTAACTAAATTAAATAAAAAACATAATAAAACATGGGTAACACCAAAGCAAGCAATATCATGTGAATTATAAATTTAGAAATAAACCATAGAATTTTATAGCAATATAACACAATACTATATTAATAATAAAATTCTAACAAATATATCAAACGACTCCCCTTAGTCATCTATTAATCAGATAACCCAAATTTTTAAAATATTCCCCTAAATTATATAATCAACTCTACGAAATAAATACACACCTCCTCCCATTTTTGTCACAAATAACAAAAAAAATGCAAGTGATAACCAAATTATGCATAT